GAAAACGGCAGCCCACCCAGCTGTGGGGCTGAAGGCATGTTGGCAGCCTGCGTCTTGATAGGCTGGGACCAGAAGGACTCGTGAGCTCTGTGGTCTTCCTCCCTCAAACCCATCACCTGGAGGAACACATCAGAAAAGCTCAAAGGAGGGAAGTTTTACTCTCTCCCTGACCCGGGCTTCTCAAAACTGCTGTGTCTGCAGAAACAAAGAAAGACTGAGGCAGGGGAGCCCAGGGAGGCGTGGGTCTCTGGGACAGACAGGGGGCACTTGGGGCAAGCTAGCAAGATCCAAATCAAGTACGGAGTTGAGATGACAGAGATGCACCCATGACAGAGATGACATGGAGCCCCTCCAGAAAGCCACTTGACCGCTGATGTCGCAGGTTTTCTGGACCCTCCATTCCATGACGTTGACCCACATGCAGCTTTACTCGTGGTGCTTTGGACTAAGTTTTGAGGTTGGGAAGTAGGAATTCTTCGACTTTGTTCTTTTTCAAGATTTTTTTTTTGGAGCTATTCTAGATCTCATTGACTTTTTTTGGTAAGAGCAAAAAACTGAAAACAACCCAAGTTTCTATCAATAGAGGATGGGATATATTAATTAGGTATGTCCGTATAATGTAGTGATGGACAACTATCAAGAGAGACACAATTATCCATAGAAATAGACATAAAAAGACAGGGGATACTCAAAGGTATACGTTATTCATTATGAAAATCCGCTGCCACCAAGGTGATGGGATGAACCTATAGGGCAGGGTGAACGGCTCCCTAGAGTGTACAAGACTGTGCATTTTTATGGGAGCTGGAAGCCTTGTTTTTCTCTGGCAGAGTGGCTGGTGGGTTTGAACCTACAGCCTTATGGTCAGCAGCTCAATGTTTAATCCACCACGCCAGCAGGCCTCCTTCTAAGGAAGGACAGAACTTGACTGCTTTACTCTATAGATGCCTGCCAGTACGCCAGCACCGACGATTATATTTAATGTATTGTCATTCACTTGAATGTGTGGGTAAGTGGGTAATGATCTTTATGAGTTTCCTTTCGGGTCATAAGGGGCACTGTTGAAGGCAAGGTGTTGGCATTAAGCGTTGGTCTGGTACGTCTGACAAGCATTGGCACAGACAGCACACGTTGTGGGCCTCCCAGTGGAGTCCACACAGATGCCCACTCCCCACGCTCTGGCCAGGTGTGTGCATCATGATCCTGGCGGTTAGAACAGCCTCTGAGCTGGTTTCCCTCCCATCAGGGTTGTCCTCCTCGGAGCACGTGCTGCCCAGGGTGATCTGAAACCTCATCAAGGCTGGCTTCTGACCACAGAGCTTGCAAAGCTAGTCCTGCAACACCCATCCTTCCCATCCCCCCCTCCCCAGGTCCACCAATTCCAGACCATATTCAAAATACCCTTCCCAGCATGCCAGCCCATACCCATTCCACTGAGCTCTGGATCTGCCCTTCTACCCATACCATGCCATCGTGATCGCCGTAGTTTTCAAGCCAATCTTGGCATTCTGAGTCTACTGGAAACCTCAGGAGCCCTGGTGGCACCACAGTTGAGTGCTTGGCTCAAGCCCACCCAGTGGCACTGCTGGAGAAAGCCCTGGGGACCTGCTTTCCTGAGCTGGCAGCCCAGGGGCACCAGCCGGGCAGTTCTTCTCTGCGGCACAGGGCATGGGTCACAATGGCTTTGACGCTACCTGACAGTAACAGCAACAGGTTACATCTAGAAGAGCATCTTCTACCTCGGACCTGCATCCCGGGGATGCTCACCCTGCAAACACTGTCTTTTCAGATGGTTTCTGGGAGGCATAGTAGCCAGCGTCTTCATGTGCTCATCGCTGATAACCACAGCTTGTAAGTACTCATTTCCCAAATGGCTGAGCCGCTTCCCGTATTTCATTCCAATCTTGTTCACCTTGAAATCATGGTGAAACACGCTCTCTCTCTCTGTCACCCAAGATGTTGTCAAGTCATTGTTTCCCAGCGTCGCCAGCTATTTCAAAGCCACCGCCTGTACTCGGTAAGTGTTCCCCGCCACACCCTCATTGTCTGGACAACAGTGACCTTGATCTGGTGTGGGAGGGTGGTGAGTGCTGAGCCATGGATAGCAGTGACCCCATGCAGGAAAGGTCCTGAGGGTTCGCAGTGAAGAAATCCTTCTGTTGTTGGGAAAATCGAATTGTATTCTATCCTGCCTCCTGATCTAGTCTTACATCCACAAAGATTGAATTGATTTGTACAGCAGCTGGACTTAGAGGCGTCTTCTGAAAAACAATTTGCTTTATTATGATGAAATATACATAGCAAATGAACTCCACTAGTGCTATGTGTGCCCTTTCCCTATGTGTGACATTAACTATAGTCACCAGGTTGGATAATAATTATGTCTACTCATTTTCCCAATTAAAAAAAATCTTTAACAAAGACACTCTGCTACTTTGGAAATACCCTCTTATTTCCCTCTTGTACCTGCACAGGACCCCCATTAATGAGCTGTGGTCTCCAGGCATTTGCCCATTCTAGACATCGTGGATCAATGGTGGCCTACGTAGTCAGCATTGCCCTTTTGCTTACTGACTTCTTTCACCCAGCACAAGGTTTGCAAGGCCCATGCAGGATGTGGCCTGCATCAGGCCTGCGCTGATGTTAAGTAACAGTCCACTGTGTGTGTACACCCTGCTTTGTTCATCCATCCACCTAGTGTTGTGTAAAACATTCAACATTGTTGTTGTCCTTGAAAATGTACACAGCAAAATGTACGTCCATTCAGCAGTTGCTACAGTGATGTTGAACGCATTTCAGGACTTCAGAAAAACGATTCACATAACTTCGGAGTGTTTTTGGATTCAGAGCATTGTCCTTTATAAACACCCCACCTTCAAGAAACCGATCTTATGTCCTTATCCAAGAGCTGGCAAATGGCTCATGAAACGATCACAGTTCCACACATGACTTCCTGGCCATCCCAGGCTCACTTAACGGTCCCTTTGTGTGCTGGCTGCCCTGGTTGAGCATGTTTCAAAGGGTGACTGGGGCCTGGGTGAGATGCTCACAGAACTTCAAACAGCCCACAAAGCCTCATCCGTTGGCCAGTCGGATGGCCTTCATCTGAATAACTTCAATAGTGCGGGCAGAGGCCAACTCCCAGTGGTTGTCGATTGAGAGCTGGAGCCCAAGCGTGGCTGGTAGCCTTTGCTCTTCACACTCTTTCTTCGATGCATGAAACGGCTGTGTGCTCTCTGGAATCTCCGTGGAGGAGAGTGAGGATATCTTTTGTGTCGGGGTCTAGTCCACTCCCAGACAGGTCGAGTGATGCTGCCCCCGCTGGCGGTCCAGGTTTCGGGGCACTGCTGTTGCTGGGTGTTGTTTCATCTGATGGTTAGAAAATGAAGTGCCGCCGTCCTCCAAGCAACCATTATTCTCTTGACCCTTGTAAGTGAACGACATCTGTTTAAAACTCAAAGGCGATCACGTACCTCCCTCTGAGCTACACGCTTAGAGCTACGTGCTTAGACCTGTGCAGACTTAACAGGCGGGTACATCTCCTAGGGTGCTGATTTGAGGTTCACATTTGCCCAACTTTATTTGATGGGCTCAGAGGACACACTAATCGGGGTTCACTTTAACCGAGCTAACGGACAAGGTCCAAATAAAGAGCAGAATAAGCCATGTTGGAACCCAATGTTCATTGGGTGAAGACATTTAGGACCCTGCGCATTTTATCATGCATCGTTTTATCCATGATCACAGGTGTCATGTTTTATGCAAACAGGATATTTGTGGAAACCCGGGGTGGAGCAAGCCTACTGCTGCCCCTTTGTCAACAGCACATGTCACTTCGTGTCTTGGCCACATTTCGGTGACTCACAGTATCTCCAACTTTTTCATCACGCTATGGCACCCTTCATAGACAACAGGATAGAGCAACTGTTAACGTCTATGTACACTGTGAAACCTCAGAGTCTGCAGGGCTCGGTTGGTTGTGATATTGACTTTCTTGTGATGGTCTGGAACAGAAGCCGCAGTATCTCCGAGGTCGGCCTCTATTCCTTAAGGCAGAGCTCTCAGCTGACACCAACTATAGAAGTGTCCTTCCTCTGTGTTTTCAGATGAGCAGGTATAAGTTCAGAAAGACTTCTGTCTCACCTATGGTGAGAGCAGAGTTTCTCCAAGTGTGGCTTGGAGGTGATGTGATTGAATCAGCTGGGAAGCTCGTGGAGAGAGCAGAATTGAAGTCTACCGAATCTAAAGTTCTGAGGGGTCTACACTTTTTAACCAGCACTCCTGCTGCTTCTTTGCATACTAACTCTGAGAACCTTGGGACTAGAATTCAATCTCTAAGACTTTTATCCTTTGATTTCCAAAGTGGTATCATGGAAGCTACCAAGCTTTGATCGAGAACTGGGGAGCGAGGTGTGCTGTGGGGTGCACTCGGCTCAACAGACCTTGATGGGGCTTTCTCTCTGTGGAGCCCTGGTAACATCGTGGGACAGCTGTTGGGCCTCGAACCACAAAGTCAGCACTTTGAAACCACTGGATGCTCCCAGGGAGAAATAATAAGGCTTTCTACTCCTGTAAAGACGAACTGTTTCAGAAACCCACAGGGGTGGTTGCACTCTGTCCTGTAGAGTTTTCATGAGTGGGAATGGACTGGGCGGTATGAGTTTGGGTTTTGGATCTCGGGTCAGACACCATCCCTGGGCTGCAATACCATGGCATGATCCAGCATCAAAGTTTCAGAGTCCAACTTGAGTTACAAACATGCAAAGGGCAAGGTGAAGTTGCCTTTCTATATGGTGAGCACAAGTCAAGATTAAAGGAAGCAGCTCTGGGAACAGGAGGGAGGTGCCCCTAGACCTGAAGGAGGTGGTGTGGTGTGTGGGCTTCCTGTAACAGCCAATAGCAGATGTTCCGGGGTTATAGCAGTTCCTGTTTCCTGAGATGCTGGCCTTCTGTTCTGAGCGCTTTGCTTATTGGCCAGAAGCATTAGAACAGGATTATTCTATTACTAAACACTGTCATTTATGAACTACAACCTCATTTATGAAATAGAGCTCTTCTTTGATTCCCAGTCTACATCCCTTAACCCATTCTTTGCCATTTTACTCTGTTTTACCACTGTTCCCTTCCTCCCTAACTTCATATGCATATATTCTTGGATCTAAGACCATGGAAAACAAGGATTATGGGCTTCATTTTTAAAGTCATCACAATACCTTGAAAATAGATACAGCATAAATATTCATGAACTTGTATGTCCTTGCTGCATCATTCCTTAAATACTTCCTTTATACCCAAGAACCCCATAACTATATATCGCATACATGCATATATAAATACAGCCGGAAGCTAAGAAGACATAGACAAGGTTATTAATATCTGTGATCAAGAATGATTCATCAATCTCCTCTAATAATTAATGAGCATCTGAGGAAGTGGAGGGCAAATGCTGAATTTGGTTCCAAAAGCCTTAATGGCTTACTCCCCACACCCCCCTGCACTGTGCGTGGATGGAATTGATGGACACCCAGCACTCAGCACGTCCCGCTTCCCACATCATCTCCCTTTTCCTGTCCCACCCCACTTCTTCCTTGACAAATGTGACGTCTTTAACTACAGGGACTGCTCATCCTCATCACCATTGGCTCAGGTGTCTCTTTCAAACAGTCATCCCAATGCCACACATCGATGATGTGTTAATATCCGTGGTGGGTGCTTAGGACTTCATAGGAACAAAGTCGGTTTGGGGAAGCGTCTGCTCCGCCTGCTCTCTGTGTGAGGATGGAGGTTGATGTAGTTGGTGGTTGAATGAAGAGAGAATGAACTCTAAACCAGCTGTCCCTGAGTTCGTGTCAACTCCTGGGGACCCTGTGGGTGTCAGAGTACAAGGGTCCTCCAATGACCTTGACCCTTCCGTGGCAGATTGTCAGGTCTTCAGAGGCACGTGTGGGTGGACTCAGCCCTGGTGGTTACTTGTATTCCATTCTTCATAGTTACGGGTATTTAAGTTAGTTATGTGTGTGTGTGTGTGTGTGTGTGTGTGTAGAGAAATCAGAGAATTTCTCTACCAGTGCACTGACCCCAGGCTTAACTGCTCTCACAGCACAGCAGAAGCCAGGGGAGATCATCAAGAGCAACTGGGAGGGCTTTGAATACAGTTTGCCCTTGAAGGAACAACGTCAACGAGGCTCCTCATTCTTTCCAAACTGGTCACTAGATAGTGGGCTGGGATGGCAGGTGGTGGCTGATGGGGGAGGGGAAAGATGGAAACATTTTTAGGGCCTTGTTTTTACTGTTTCTTCACAAGGTTTCAACCTTCTCAGAGATCACGATTCTCTCTCACTCAAATTGCAGATTGTGTGAGGCCGGGTTGTGTAGGGACACGCATCCAAGAAAGAACTTTAAATGAAGAAGCAACTCTGCAGCAAGAAGGCGCCCCAGCCCCGTCCAGCTCACGTCTGCGAGGAAGGCGGCGAGGTGACAGGGAGAGCAGCAGTGCCCAGAGGCTCTCCCTCTTACACCAAAGGCCACCCTCCCACGGAGGTATCCTCAATGTGTTGCTTGATTGACAGGTTTGACCCCACCCCTAGCCGGGATGTCTAGTTGACATAAGATCATCTAACTACCACAGAGCACCCCTTGTCAACTGGACACCTTTACACAACTCTTTTAACCACGCACACTCTCAAAACAAAGGCAATAGTTAAATTATAGTTGCCCCTAACATGATACAACTAACACAGAGATCCTTAAGCAAAAACCTACCGCATAGAAAATATCTGTCGGGCAAAATAAAGGATAAACAGCAGAGGGTTTTGGGACACGTGGACAGAGTGCAGCTGGACCACTGACTGAGGGACCACAGAAGAAGCTGACCTTTCTGCTGTAGGACTCTGGGAGACTCCACTCCCAGGGGATCAGAGTCAGGGCTCACCCTACACTGGTTGGTATGGTTGTATCAACACAACAAAAGAAAACTCCAGGTCTCAATTCTACCTTACAAATAGGATTAGACCAGAGCATGCACACTGCTACAGATAAGAGCCCCCAACACAGGGAACCCAGGATAGATAAACCCCTCAGGGACTAAAAGGAGAGTAGAGATACCAGGAGGGTTAGTGGAGGGTGGGAGGAGATAGGGGGAATCGATCATAAGTGTCAGCCTAGAAACCCCTCCCAGGGGGGTGAATAATGGAAAAGTGGGTGAGGGGCGACGGAGGACAATGTAAGATATGGAAAAAGTAATCTATAACTTATCAAGGGTTTGTAGGGGAGGGAGGGTGGGGGAGGGAGAGAGAAGAAATGGGGAGCTGATATCAGGGGCTCAAGTGGGAAGAGAATGCTTTGAACATGATGATGGCAGCATATGTGTAAATGTGCTTGGCATATTGGAGGAATGTATGGATTGTGATAAGAGATGTAAAAAACCCTAATAAAAGTATTTTAAAAAAAAACCTGGTTACAAATCAGGGCCCTATTTACTGATTCTGAATTTCAGATTTTAACACATTTGGGTGAAGACCAAATCAACTCAACTGCCATCAAGTCCATGCCGACTCATAGTGACCCCACAGGACAGGGTAGAACTGCCTGTTGGAGTTGCTGAGACTACTAGCCAAGTCTTTCTCCCATGGAACCGGCTGGTGGTTTCAAACCGCCGACCTTGCAGATCACAACCCAATGCACATAACCACTGCAACACATAACTACCTTCTGAGTGAGGGGAGGGACCCAATTGAATCCAGAAAGACAGGTCTTCTAGCCTCAACCCTCAATGAACTCTGTCCCTCAGCAAGCTCCTGGAGGAATGATGGTGGGCAAGAACTGCCCAGCTCCAGGTTCTTAAAGACCTTCTGCCTGCCCACAAGATCCTTGCTCTCTGGCAAGAGAAACAAGAAGGACGATTACCAGGTGGTCAGTGAAGTAGGAGGTGCAGAGGGAAGGAGGCTCCTCCCAAGTTCTCATCACCCATTTACCCAAGAATATGTGTCCGATGCATGGCAGACAAGCAATCATATTTGCTGAAGGGAACATTGCTGTTTTATCTTATGAATCATGCAGGTCTTCCGAAGACCGTACTAGAGAGATTATCCTGTTACTGTAGGAAGTCTGACTAATTTATATTTTATCTAGCACATTCATTCATTCATGAATTCAATCAATCACTTGATAATTACTAAGTATCAATTGCTTGAGATTACTGAGCATCTAATACTTACCCAATACTTGTTACGAACTAGGGATTTGTGCCCAATAGAGGAAATAACATTTGTTTTCAAGAATTAGATGTCACCACAGAGAGAGAATCCTCTAAGCATATAATTACAAGTACATGATATACTTAAGAACACCCCGCCCCCCCCAATGCTTTTATGCTTTTTTCCTCCTAAAACATTTCCTAGCTCAGAATTCTCAGTAGTTGAGATTCCTTCTTCCTGTGCGTTAATGACATGTCCGGTGCTGTGTTTGCTCTTCGAGAGCACAGAGAAGAGATTCTTTAGAGGAGAAGACAAATAGGGAGTGGGTGAGGTGGGAGAGGAAACAGGAGCTGGGCCACACGGATGAAGTGAGCGCCGAGAGGAAATAAGAGAGCCCTAACAGCTCCGGGGAGAACGGCCGCTCTCCACACAAGAGATCGATTAGGGTTCTGTTCCCAGACATGACACCTCTCTGCCCATGAGCACCTGTGTGCTATTATGATGTTGAACAGGTTTCTGTGGAGTTTCCAAACTAAGCCAGACCAGGAGGCAAGAAAGGTATGGTGATCTACTTCCAAAATCAGCCGGTGAAAATCCTGTGGACCATAACAGTTTGACGCATGAACAGGGGACCAGTTGGATAGCAGCGAACAGCAGAGAAAATACAACCTATGGTGAGCTTGCAGGATACTTGACAGTGGCTCTGGTAATTCCGCAAAGCTTCTTCTCTTCAATGAATTCCTCATTACCTCTTCAACTTCATAACCAACCTTCATAGCATCCTACAGGATGGATTAAAACTACCCCTTTGGGTTTCTTAGGTTGTAAATCTTTATGGGAGCAGAGAGCCTCATCTTTCTCCCACAGAGCAGCTGGTGGGTTTGAACCACTGACCTTGCAGACAGCAGTCCAACACCTACCCAACATCGCCACCAGGACTACTAACGAACCCGTAAGGGCTATCCTAAAATTGCTATTTTAAACACAATAGGTTAAAAGTAAAAGGATGTAAGAAAAATCCACAGAAATATAACCAAAAGAGAGCTGGGATAGCAATCTTACTGTCAGTCAAAGTAGACTTTACGACAAAGTCTGCCAAAGGAGATCAAGATAGACATTCCATGGTGACAAAAGGGTCAATGGGTCAAGATTTAACCATCGCACGGCTCTAGGCACCTACCCTCGGGTCACCAGACATGTAAGCGTTGATAGAACTGAAGGGAGAAGTAGATGTGCTCTTGTGAGGGGTCAGTGGGTTGGCTCTGAATCAAAGTGATGCCAAGTGCAGCAAAAGGACACTCTGCCAACCCTGCACCATCTTTGTGATTGTGTCCAGTGTTGTAGCCACTGTGATAATCCATCTAACTGAGGGCACCCCTCTTGTGCACTGACCCTCTCTGCTTCACCAAGCACGATGTCCCTTTCTTGGGACTGATCTCTCCTGAAAACATGTCCGAAATACATGCAATGAAGTTTTTGCCATCATCACTTTCACTGTTAGACAAACCGTAGGAAGAGAAGATCAACAAGTAAACGGAAAACCTGGCTGACACGATGAACCAACTAGCCTTAATGGACGTAGGAAGAGCACTGGATCCCAATCCAGTACAACGGATGCCCTACTCGAGTGCACCTGGATCTTTCTCCAGAACAGACTCTCTGTTAGCTCACAAAGCAAGCCATGATACAGTTTAAAAGACTGACATGATACAAAGTATAGTCTCAACCCACAGCGGAGGAAAGGTGGGTATTAGTAACGGGGAGTGGAGGGGGGAAGCCCAGAAAACACACAAACACATGGAAATTAAACAACACACTATTAAATTACTAATGAACCTGGGACAAAATCAAAAGAGAAATCAGAAATTTCTAGAGTCCAATGGCAATGAAAGCACAGCGTTCTCAAGCTTGGGGATCCAGCGAGGCGGTGCTTGAGGGTGCGATGAGAGGAGGGCTTAGAGCAATTAATGGCGACACAGACGAAGAAGAAAGATCACATTAGCTGCCTAACTCAGCAACTCCGGGAACTACTGAGAGAAGAACAACTAAGCGCAAACCTACCAGAAGACATGAAACAACACAATCCAAGAAGAAAGAAATAGCAAAACCAGGGAACCAATGTTGTTGTTATTAAATGCCATCAAATCGGTTCCGACTCAGAGTGACCCCTGTCCAACAGAATAAGACATCATTGAAGGGTCACACTTGTTCTTATGTTTGAGCCCATTGTTGCAGTCACTGTGCCGGTCCATTTTGTCACAGAGCGTCCTCCTTTTAGTGACCCCTCTACTTAACGGAGCATGATGTCTGTATTAGTCTGGGTACTTTGGAGAAACAAATCCACAGCAACTCATGTATAAGAGAGAGTTTTATGTAAAGAAAATGTG